GAATGCATCGCATGCGTTTTATGCGCGCGCTGTGCTTCTCAATGTTCTTCCTGAGACACAGGAGAAGAAAAAGAATGAACGTGTCAAAGAGGTTGTCAAGCAGGTTTATGACGCCGTAGGTTCATTTGTGAACTCGGAGCGAAAAGAAGAATTCAAATCCAAACTGGAAGACTTGTGTAATCGCACATGCGATGGGTGGATGCAGATTCAACATCTTGAAGAGAGAGTGAGACCAAGCTTTTCCCCCAACTACATTAATGTCTGGAAGCCTCTGCCTGGATCTTCGTCCAGCAGACGCACAGAGACGACCACGTCAACACCTTCGCCTGCTTCGTCTACTGCTGCCTCGACATCACAAAAGAAGCCTGAAGAGGGTCAGCCACGCAGACAAGAAGTTGGCAAGGTTATATGGCCCGATGGTCAGCCACGCAGACAGGAAGTTGGCAAGGTTATATGGCCAAGTTTTCTCTACCAGCATCCCGAAGACCCGGACGAAGGTCTTCTCCATCATGGCTATGTTCTGACAGACGCCCAGACTGCTGAGGCAGAGAAGGAAGGGGAGAGTTCACGCAGACTTGCTCGAAGAAACACGAGGAATAATGAGCAGATAGGAACCAAAAAGAGGCGAGACTCGGGTATTTTTTTATCCAAGGGAGGTTCAGACAGATCTGGAATCGCATGAGGTGGAATAGGAAAGGATTGAAGATTGACTCTGGGGCTGGATTGCCACGCCGTCGTCGGTAAAATGAGCGCGCATGGTGTGTTGAATTTTGATTTGAGCCCACAGCTTTTCTTTGTGCGGTCGACTATCCGCAGGCCCTTTCCCCCTGACATTTGTATGAAGTCATGAACATACCGACTCTCCGTAGGCCCTTTCTCCCTGTCATTTGTATGAAGTCATGAACATATTGTTAGTCCTAATCGTGGCTCTCGTTCCATCTTGCAAGGTCTAAATGAATTCCAGTGTCTTTTGATAGAACCATGCCCACACGCCATTGATGAATGAAAGCTAATTGATTGCTGGGCACGGATATACGAGCCTGCGCTTTCTCTTCTTTCCTCATTACCTAAACCAATCGCTGTTGCCATTCCACGATTAAGATGCTTTGCCAAGTTTCTGAGAAGGTTGCTTTATTGTGTCGGCAACAGCTTCGCAAGCCGTGCCTCGGGTGCTTAACTTCATGGGAAGGTTTGGTTCCGTTAAACACGTATCGATTGGATTAGTTAGGAGCCATTGTATATACGCTGACGTTTTGACAATCCATTGATGCTGCTGCTTCAATTGCCCTCATCTCACATGTCACATACTACCCTCAGACATAGGTAACTAGCCCGTGTCTTGAAAGACTTCATAAAAAGCATACTTCAGAGGCTTCACGAGATGTGTGAGTCAATTGCCTCAAATAATATACAATGACTTCTCCCGGAGATATGTTATCCCAAGCGTTGCTGTACGGATGTGACAATTCACCATATCCTCGAGTGCGGACCTAGACCATGCCCAACCGCTGGAAATACGAGAAGAGCAATCCTGCGGGGGCGACACCCCCGCAACGTCGACTCTCACCACACGCGAATGTGCCTTCTAGCTGTCAGATTCACAGTGGTGCAGGAAGGTGTTGTGGTCGTCAAAACTCACCAGACACAGGACCCAGCTCGCCAAATCCCAGAAGCTTCAGGATGAACACTAAATGCTAAGACTGTTAACAGGACGCCGCACGCCAGTTCGATCGGGGTGGTCTTTGGCCTGTTCAGCCAATTCACGAAATGTAAGGTCCGCACGCAATCCTAGCTGCGTTGTCGTAGACATCTCTCGTGGTTGGGCCGCCTTTTCTCGTCCGTCTTTCAACGCCTTGCGGGGACCGTCAGCACGTTTCCTGCGACCATGCCGCTGCACCAACAACATCGTTGCGTTGCGTTCTTGCATCTTTTTCGTGGTCTGCAAAGGAGCACAAGCGAGTGACACAATCGATGGACAGCTGTTCAAGAGGAGATTTCCTGGTGCTGGGCTTTGGCTGGCAGGAGGAGCTCATTCGGTGATTTTCCGCTCTATTGTATGATGAGAATCTAGCGGGGAGTGTCGAAAGTGCCGCTTGAAAAGCAGCAAAATAGGGATTGCGCCAATTCCATTGTGCGATAAGGGAAAAATCAATCGTGGCCGCTCTTCACTGGCCTTTGATAGAGAGCTAGAAAACAGCTTTCGCACCAGCCGAAAACATCTAAATCACAACGGACTTGTTCTTGGCAACCAAGAGAAGCAGCCAACGGCCCGGATGGCCCATTGACTCCGGGTAGGGGAGTATGCAATCCATCTGGCACCTGTGCGAGTGTCTTTAGGATCGGTCAGATGATGGGTGATCAAGGCGCTTAGAGCTGTGCATGTGGTAATGCGTCTGTGATCCACTCCCAACGAGCCGGGGCAATTCGTTGGATACCTGCTAGAGGGGTTTACTTCACTGAGAGGTACCTACCTTGAAGAGAATAGGACGCCCCCGCCGCTGATGCACAGAGATAAATCAATACTCCCTGTTGAACCGGGTACTCGAAGCGATATGACTAAATGCTGTCCTCATTGCGAGTGTGTTTATCGTACATCCCTCAACCCTTGTCAACCGCCGCAGGCGAACAAATCCTTGTGTGGGCGATTGGGTCTGACGCGTTTCGCGAAGATGCTCCAGGCCTGGAGGCCGGAAACCCAGAGGTCGGAGGCCGAGGAATGACACGAAGGGCTGGCGATGTGGTAGATGCGGCAAGTCTTCTGGTAATGCATGCACTTGTCAGATGACTGACTGTACCTAGAAACATCTCTGACGAGGATAGCAGTGAACATTAGCCTTATTTTGTGCGGTTGTGACTCTTTTGAGAGGGTGATTCAATGTGGCCCACTCGCTATGCACCCTACTTCTGTCACGTTGTGAGACTGGTCTCTGGCTGCAACCAACTTCACCACCCAAAAATAAGGAGCTCCGTAGCGGGCTTCCGCATCATTCCGCACCCTACTATATCATGGACAGAGCTAGCATTTCATCTCGCTTCTTTTTAAGCTCTATCAAAGACTAAAAGACTTTGAATTTTGACTCGGCCAAAGCCACGCTGACGCAACAGTTCCCGGCCGCGGTGAACGGGGAACTCTGTTACAACCATTACGTTGACGTTCTCAGCACTGATTCCGGCTTCATCTAGAAGCTGCAGCACCGCACAAAGCGTTTCCCCAGTGGCAAGCACATCGTCCACCACCACCACGGACGCCCCTCTTGGGAGTATATTCAGCCCCATCTCAATCCTTTTCTCCTTCGGATCGGCAGAGGCGGAAGACGAGATATGTGACGGCGATTTGATGACGGAAATGGTAGGCGGGGGGAGCTTGCCGGCCTCGCGAATCAATACCAGAGATACACCGACCCGCAAGGCCAAAGCGGACGCAAAGACAAGACCGCCAACCTCACAACAAACCACCGAATGGACTTTAGCCCAGTCACCTGTGAAATGAGCTTGCAGCAGGGACGTGCATAAGTCCAGCCCACCTGGCAGCTGGGAGATGTCTAGTACGTGGCGAAAATCGATACCTGAGCACGGGAAGTCGGGCACTGAGCATACCATACTGGAGAGTTGCTGCAGGTTGTCGTGGAAGAAAGCAAGCAGATGGGTTTCAACAAACTTTTTTGCCGCCTCATTGCCGGCCAAGTCATTGCGGAAAAGAAAACTGGGTGAGTGGCCCAGGGCCGTTATGTCCCAACTGCCGTTTTTGTTGTGGTGCTCCATGCTGTCGTCATTGTCATCACTCTTTTGGCAACCCCCACGAACCCGCCGCGTTTCTTTGGTAGCTTGAATGTTAACCTCAAGCAGTCTGCTATTTGGCACCAAGTGCGAAAAGGTGGCGACTGGTGCCTCGTCTCTTATGCCCGTGATTAGCAGCACGTCCATATCCATGGCGTCTTTCACCGCATCCAGAAAATGCTCTTCTCGCAGCTGAGGCCGTTGGCGTAGCTGTTCCTGGAAAAATGCCGTCAACGCAGCCCGGTGTTGCTCTTTGTAGCGGCGGTCCCGAAGCAGGCGCTTGGCATCAGCCCCAGTAGCCGCTGCATATTCTCGCTTGGTCGTGTCGCTAATGCTGATTACGCGTGCTGTGAAGCCTTTGTTGGTGAACACGGAGACCCAAGTTTCGGCACAATAGTCTTTGCCAGCGCAGCTTTCGCCCGTGACCATTATGATGACCGTCGGCGCCCTGGGCGCTTTAGCGAGTGGACAAGCGTAAGCTAGTACATTTCTTGGGTCCGAGATCTGCTTTAGATGAACAAGGCGCGGGAGGTTTGGTCCGAAAGCCTTGGCTGCCAAGGCGGCGTCTCTGGGGTCCGGCCCTAGGTCGGCGCCGTAAGCTCCGCGACTCAACGGCAACAACTCCCTGGCCACGTTGTAAACCCACCCTACGGCAGCTCCAGCAGCTTCGGTTCCATCTTCATCACGGGACCAAACACCGGTTACCACGCAAGCAAAATCCCAGTCTCGACAGCCGAAAGCAGTGGCATCAGCTGCGACGTCGCAGACTGCTCCGCCGCCTTGCAGAAGATGGAGATAGCAGAGCGGCGAAGGACGGGTCTCAACTGCCGCCACTAAGATGTCGACGACGTTCGCTGCCCCGATACGTTTGAGGAATAAACATCGCTTGAACGAGGAGGTTTTGCCGCCGCCGTGACCGCCATGCATGTCGGACATGTACATCTCGGTCTCAAACAAACCGACGCCGTCCACAGTATTATAATTGTCTTCCGGCCCGAAAAGTCTACCCATCGGCGTTGGCGTGTTATCGCGTGTTCCAAGGGCGGGTTTGGTCGTGGAAGATTCGACCATCGTAACGCCAAGGCGCAGCTTGTCCCGTTCCCAATAGAGATACGCATCCACAGAACAGTTTCGTGGGGACTTCCTAGCAACAATTCCATCGAAATCGCCGAGTCTGCGTCGCGCCTCGAGATTATTGCTCAGGGGCACAGCCCAGTTCCGAACCGAATAAACTGGAGCCGTGCGAGCCTTGAAAGTTACGCTTATTACGACACCAAAGTTAGTCCCGGCTCCTTTCATCGCCCATAATAGGTCGTCCTCGTTGTCCGGAATCACAGCGTCCGCCGGCCGGTGTTGGCTTGGTACCCGGCCGATGCGCAGGACGCGGCCGGAGGTGACGCTGACCACCACGGCGCCGACAATGGCGTCACATGAGAGCCCGTGAAGCCGGGCCAGGTGCCCGATGCCGCCTTG